CTATGATACTGTGAGCTTATGTGTCCTCATTTCATGAATGATCCGGCCCACGGTCCAGAATCCTGGGTATTTTTTCTCAGTTATCTGGGGAAAGTTTATCCCATGTGGACCTTGCAGGGGTCTGAGGCAGACGTTCCCCTCATGTCTTCCTTCTGGCTTGGTACCAAACATGGCCTAAGGTCATGGCCCGGGCAGCTCAGTGGCAGCTCAGTGCTGAGCATCAGGACGCTCTGTACCTTGGTGGGGAGAAAAGACCCAGGGGCTTAATTCCCTGAGTAGACATTGAGACTCAGAGGCTCCAGAACCCTTCAGTCAGACAACCCTCCTCTGGATTATTTCTGTCCAGTGGAAACCCATCAATTGAGGGCATTTTATCCACAGCAGCCCACACCTTCAGACTGTCATGGGCCTGTGGCCTCAGCAGACTGGGAGGGAGGGTGGGGGGGGGGGGAGAACGTCTCACTGAAATGAGGGCTTACCTCAGTTACTTGGGACTGCAGCCCCTGAACGGTCTCCGTTTTATTGCTAAGCAGAGCACAGACTTTATTGATGGTTTGCTGTTGGGAGAAGGGGGAGGGGCAGTTGGTGTGGGTGAGACAGAGGCTGGGAGGGGGGGAGGGGAGTCCAGGAGAGAAGAGGACACTCGTTCTTTGAGTCCTTTGCTGCTGTAATGCCATTCCTTCCTCACAAGCCCAGAAAACCAGGGAATCGGAGGACATCTAGCCCAAACCCATCATTTTAGAGAAGGGGAAACTGAGGTCCAAGGAAGTGAATTGACTTGCCCAAGGTCACATAGGGACTATGCATCAGGGGTAGAATTTTAACCCAGATCCTCTCCCATTTTACAGATGAAAAAAAAAAAACCTAGGCCCAGATAAGCCAAGGATCACAAAACTAAAACAGATTTTAAAAGCTATCTAGTCTGACATCCTCATTTTATACACAAGTAAACTGACACTTAGGGTAAAGTGACTTGCCCAAAGTCACACAAAATTTGAACCCAGTTTCTCTCCCATTTTACAGATGGAGGAAACTGAGACTCAGGTGAGCCAAGCTAAAGGACCATAAGACCAGAGAAGTCATAGATTTGGAGCTAAAAGGACTCCAGAGTCTGAATGGAGATTGAAGTATACTGTTTTTATTTTTTCATGGGTTTTTTTTTGGCCTATGTTTTCTTTCACAACATGACTAATATGGAAAGATGTTTTGCATGACTGCACATATATAACCTATATCAAATTCCTTGCCTTCTTAATGAAGTGGGAGGGGAGGGAAGGAAGGAGGGGGAGAATTTGGAATTCAAAATCTTAAAAAATGAATGTTAAAAATTTTACATGTAACTAGGAAAAAAACCAAATCATTTTTAAAAGGAGGGGAGGCCTGTGGCAGTTAAGTGACTTGCCCAAGGTCATAAATACCAGAGGAAGGATTTGAACTTTGGTCTTCAGAATGAGCAGCCAGTGCTTTTTCTGACATACTGTGTTGTCTCCTATTTGCTCCAAATCATACATCTAGTTAGTGTGAGAGTTGGGAGCTAGAACCCAGGTGTCCTGATTCCCAGCCAAAGATTGTTTTCCCTTTAATCTCAATGTTTCTCAATGTCGACATTATCGAATTGTCGGAAGAAAGTTTCCATGATTCCAAGAGAGCACAAAGACCCTACCTGGAAAATGTACACACTCCTATCCTACACCCATCTCCCACCCCTCATTACCCAAAGCTTTCTGAATTGTTATTGTTTAGTCACATCTGGTCCTCATAACTCTAAGGATCATACTGTCTATGGAATTTTCTTGGCAGAGATACTGGAGTGGTTTGCCATTTCCTTCTTCAGCTCATTTTACAGATGAGGAAACTGAGGCAAACAGGGTGAAGTGACTTGCCCAGGGTCACACAGCTAGTAAATGTCAGAGGCTGGATTTGAACTCAGGAGAGCTTGACTCCAGGTCCAGTGCTCTCTTCACTCTGATGCCATCTAGCTGCTTCCTAACAGCTCAAGTCAAGGCTAGGGCAGTTACTCTTAGTAGAAAACTATCTGATTGCAGTGAGTGACTTATCTATTGGCTTTGGATCCTTTGAAACTCAGAGCAGGACAAGTAAGTGAGGATTTGGAGTTTTAAAGTCCTGGGTTCAAATCCCAGTGCTGCTACTTAGTTCCCTGTGTAAATTTTGAACGAGCTGTTTTCCTTTCTCTTGAGCCCAGTTTCCTCTTTAGTAAAATCAGGGAATTGGACCAGATGGTTTCTAAGGGTCCTTCCAGCTCCAAATACATGACCCTAAGACCTCTGAAGTTATCCGATAGAAGGGAAGTTTCTTGAAGGCAAAGAGCATTTTATTTGTGCCTTTGTATCTCCAGCATGTAGCCCAGTGTCTTAAGCAAAAATGCTTGTGGAACAAAGTCTCTTCTAGCTCTAAATCTATGACCCTGTGATGTGCTCCAGGGGTTCTTCATCGGAAGTCTATAAACTTGTTTGTTTCTTTTTGTTTTAAATATTTTGAAAATTATTTCAACATAATTGTTTTCCTTTGTAATTTTATGTATGTATACATTGAAAAAGATAGCTCTGGGAAGGAGTCCTTAGGATTTACCAGATACTATCAAAGAGGGGGGAGGTGACCCAAAAAGGGTTAAGAACTCCCTCCTGTTTAAAATATCCTCCACATTCAAACGTGGCAGCCCAATGCCTCAGCCAAGTGGTTTTGAACTCTGAACGTTCAGGGTCTCATATTTAGGTGAAAGGGATCTTAGAATACAGAATCAATCAATAAGCACTTCTTAAGTGATTTATGTGCTTGCTATGTGCTGAGATAAGAAATCAGACAATTCTACGCCTGGATTGATCTTCCTCCATTCCTGACTACTGACCTCCCTGGCTTTCTTTACCTCCCAGCTCTAATCCCAATTGGGGCATATGGGGTGTTCAGGGAGGACTTAGCACCTCTGAGGTGAGACCTTGTCAGGGCTGCTCATCCCCCTCTGGTATGTACCTAATCCACCCAGCTCTCACCTGTGGCTCCAAGAAGCTGGAGTATGGGCAGCAGCCACATCCCGGCAATCCGTCTCTGCAGATGGGCCAAATCAGGTGGATGGTAACTAACATGAGTGAGGGTTCTGTCTACCCCAACTATCTGAAGACTTTCTCCTGGTGGAATGCATGGATGAAAACAATTCGTTTCAACCGCCTGAAGCAGGTGCCGTGGAGCACTTAGAGCTTGGTCAGGCATCGACAATACCCAGGCCACTAGAGCCTGGCCTTGACTTTTGTCCTGCCATTAGACTGAGATGATTCTGGAAGAGAGAGGGAGGCGGACAGCTCTGTGCAACTCTGCCTTACTTAAATCCAATTCATTCACAAGTCAAGATGTCACCCACGATGTCATTGGTTCTTTTAGAAAATAAAGGTTAAACAACAATTCCTCCTCAACAGGAAGCCTCCCCTGGCCCCTCTTATTTTCAGTGCCTTCCCTCTGTTAATTATTTATCCTCTATATAGTTTGCTTTGTATATATCCCTTTACATGTTGTTTCCCCCATTAGATTATAAGCTTCTTGAAGGTAGGGACTGTCTTTTGCCTTTTTTGGTATCCCCAGAGCTTAGCACAGTGCCTGACACAGAGATGGCACTCAATAAATGTTGATTGAATTGAATTGAAGAAAAAAAAAACAGTTCCTTCCCTCAAAGAGCTTACATTCCAATGGGAGGAGCTGAAAAGGGAGAGATGAAGTGGCAAGCCTGGGTACTTCCTGGAAATGGTGGTTCTTGGGGAGAATCTCACCAATATGAGGAGGAAGGCTGCAGGGTCATAGAAGGATCTTCCAGGGTGAGAAAGCACCTGAAGCATGGTAGTAAAATCTAGAGAATCAGGAGCATCAAAACAAAAAAACAAAAAATGAATTCCAATCCCAAATCAGATTCAAATCCCGATTCTGCTACCTAATGGACTAAACAAACCCTAAGGGCCCTTCAAACTCTAGATCTAAGATCCTGATTCATTTTCAGACTAGTCACCTGAAAATGAAGATTATATTCACAGAAGGAATCTGGAATTAGGAATGCATATGGGCCGGTCAGTCTTCAGCCCTAGAGCTGAAAGAGATCTCAAAGACCATCTAATCCAAACCCCTCATTTTAAGAAGAAGTAAACTGAGGGTCAGAGATATGAAATTATTTGCCCAAGGTCAAACAGGTAGTGGGTGGCAGGGCCAGGATTCAAGCCCAGGTTCCTGGACTCCATTCAGACAAATCGATAAAAATGCCATCTGCCGCCACCACCCGATCCCTCCAGCCTCTTTGTCCTCTATGACCCGGCCACATCTGAGTGGTACTACATACCCAGAACTTTGGGGGTAGGGAGTGGCCGGGTACGGCGAGGATGGAGCCCAGGGAAACTATTATCGCATCCTAGATGTTATCGCGGGTTCGTTATCCAAACCCTCACTTGTTCCCAGAGAGCCGATGGGCAAATCACAGGGGCAGGTTTAATTTCACCCTCCCCGAAATCAGCAAGGGATGGATGAAAGCCCTGGGGTGCTTTGAGCAGCTCCTGAAATCCACTGATATGATGCAGTCCCCTTACCCCTCCTGTTTTTCTTCCACTCGATTTTCCCCCCAGCAGGACGAATTCTCCTCTCGCAGTTCCCTCCCTCCCTTTCTCCTCGGCTGCTCTCCATCCTCCCTCCGTTCCCCACCCCCCTTCCACCCGCTCCTCCTTCCCCAGCCGCCGGCTATTTGAGCTTCAAGGATATGTGATCTCTGGATACCAGCGGGCGCGCTGGCACATAGACGGACGCACACACGCGCACACACAGCCACACAGCCCACGCGCCGCGCACACAGGGGCGCACGCACACACAGGGGCGCACGAACCCGTAGAGGCGCGCACAGAGCCAGTGCGCTCCCTCGGCGGAGGCCAGATGTTTCCCTTCTAACCTAGAGGTAGCCGCCCCGGCCTTGGTGCCGGCCCGATCTCCGGGAGCGCCTCCAGGAACCCTGGCCCAGAATGGGGCCGCCGCCGGTCTCCCCGCCGTCCCTGCTGCCCGCCGCCGCCCTCTGCCTCCTTTCCTGCCTCCTGTCTGCACCTCGGAGCCACGCGTGCCCCGCGGGCTGCGTGTGCGCGGACTCCCATACTGTGGACTGCCGGGCCCGAGGGCTGCCCAGCGTGCCGAGCGCCTTCCCCCTGGACGTGCGGAAGCTGCTGGTGGCCGACAACCGCATCGAGGCCATCCCGGCCGACTTCTTCATCTTCTACGGGGACCTGGTCTACCTGGACTTCAGGAACAACTCTCTGAGCTCGCTGCAGGAGGGCGCCTTCAGCGGCTCCGCCAAGCTCATCTTCCTGGACCTCAGCTACAACAACCTGACCGAGCTGGGCGCCGGCACCTTTCGCTCGGCCGCCAAGCTGCTCAAGCTCAGCTTGGCCAACAACCGCCTGGCTGGCGTGGACGAGGCCGCCTTCGAGAGCTTGGAGTCGCTGCAGGTGCTGGAGCTCAACGATAATGACCTCCGGAGCCTCAACGTGGCCGCCCTGGCCTCCCTGCCTTCCCTGCGGACCCTGCGCCTGGACGGCAACCCGTGGCTCTGTGACTGCGAGTTCGCTCAGCTCTTCTCCTGGCTCCAGGACAACGCGTCCAAGCTGCCCAAGGGTGAGCGAGGGGCTGGGACGGGCCGGGTGGGTGGGGGGAAGGGAGAGGGGAGCTCCGCGGAGAGGGAACCAGGGCTGCTGGCTGCGGTGGGGCTGCGGAGCTGGGGGCTCTGGGGATCTGCAGGCCAGCCAAGTCAGCCGGCTTTTATGAAGTGACCCCGGCCTCCTGGCCGTTCCTCACCAGAGACCCTCCAACTACTCGGGGCGTTTGCACCGGCACTCTCTCCTTCCCCATGTCTGCGTCCTGTCTTCCTTGAAGTCTCAGCTTTCTCCCTCGCTTTCTGCAGTCCCCTTTTATCTTAATGCTTTCTCTCCAGCATCGTTTCCCATTTCTCCTACATAAGACAGCTTGTTTGTGCATAGCTGTTAGCATATTGTCGGGCTCGTCGGTGAACTCCTAGAGAGCAAAGAGACTGGCATTTGTCTTTCCTTGTGTTCCCGTGCTTAACCCAATGCCTGGCACATAGTAGGATCTTAATACGTGGCTGTTGACTGAGTACTTACTGTGCACCAGGCACTGTACCTGCTGTTGCCGTGCCTCTAACCCTATATTCCCACGGGACTGACTCTAAGATTGGAGAGAAACAGATTTCCTTTGTAAGGGAGCCAGACGACATCTGCAGCTGATGAGGAAGTTTGGTTACTAAGAAGCTTTACTGGGAGAAGGAACGGGGTGCCAGAGAAAGAACACTGGGTTTGAGTCTCAGGATTCAAGCTGTATGAGCTTGGGCAAAAAACTTCCCCTTTCTGGGCCTCAGTTTCCTCACGTGTCAAAGATCCCTGTTGTTCTTCAATCATGTCTGATTCTTTAGGACTCCATTTGGGATTTTCTTGGCAAAGATGCTGGAGTGGTTTGCCATTTCCTCGTCCAGCTTATTTTACAGAGGAGGAAACTTCGGTGAAGTGACTTAACCCAGGGTCACATAGTTAGTAAATGTCTGAGGCCAGATTTGAACTTGGGGAGATGAGTGTTCCTGACTCCAGGCTGGCCACTGTGCCATCTAGCTGCCCCTAAATGATTCCTAAGGCCCTGTATGCTTTAGAGCTCTGCTCATGTCTAGATGATCCCTAAGGTCCAGTTCTGAATCCTGTGATGATATAAATCTAAGCCAGGACCTTGGGAAGGAGTGCCCACAGCATAGGAAGCCCTGGTTTTCCCTTTGTGTTCTTCCTACTACTGCCTAGTGAGAATGGTGCACCCAGCAGGCACTCCATCAATGGTTTTTCTTTCTTTCCCTTCTCCCTTTCCTTCTCTCCTACTGAGGCAGCACACGGGGGTAGGGAACCTTCAACCTTGAGGCCACTTGTGACCTTCAAAGAGTACAGCCTTTTGACTGAGTCCAAGTTTTACAAAACAAATCCTTTTATTAAGGGGATTTGTTCTGTGACATTTGGATTCAGACCGTCTCACTTGAGGAACTAGAGGGCCACATGTGGCCTTGAGGCTGCAGGTTCCCCACCCCTGGATAGGGGATAAAGTGCTGGTCCATGAGTCAGGAAGACCTGGGTTCAAATCCTGCCTCTGATGTCACAAACAAGGTATTTCACCTGTCTGAGCCTCAAGCAAGTCTCCAAGACCATCTCTTGTAGACCAGCTGAGCTTTCCAGAAGTGGAGAGAGTTCCCCCATGGATAAAATCACAGCTCCTTGCCATATGGGCAAGGGTGATAACAAAGAAAATCAGGTAGTCCCTTCTCTTATGAAATGTACAGTCTCCTGGGGAAGATAGGCTGTGGGTAGAAGCAGCTACACTGTAGGAAAGAATGTGAAGATATGAACCAGGTGCTGAGGCAGTGCAGCTCAGTGGAGAGTTAACTAGAGCTAGAATCAGGAAGGCCTGGGTTCAGATTCCACCTCTGACTCTTAGCTGTGTGACAGCAGGTACATTGCTTAACTTTTGAGCCTTAGGCAACCTTAAGACTTCACTAAATTATAAATTGACTGTCCCAAACGGATAAAATCATATCTGTGATATATTAGTATACTGTAATGAGTGCAGAGCCTGGAGAGGTCTGATAATAATCATTCCATTTCAAATGGCCCTTTAAGATTTTCCTGGCTGGGGAGTGGGGCAGCACAGTGATTGGGGAACAGATGGCATTGGATGGCATTGCGGTCTTTCCTTGAAGAATAGACAGGTGGATTTTAAGTTCTGTCCTAGACAGATGAAACAGTATCCACTGATTTCCAATTGTTGCTGTTCAGTAGTTTTTGTCATGTCCAACTCTTTGTGACCTCATTTGGGGTTTTCTTGGCAAAGATATTGGAGCGGTTTGCATTTCTTCTCCAGCTCATTTGACAGATGAGGAAACTGAGACAAACAGGATTAAGTGACTTGCCCAGGGTCACACAGCTAATAAGTGTTCGAGGCTGTATTTGACCTCACAAAGATGAATCTTCTGACTTCAGGCCAAGAATTCTATCTACTGCACTACCTAACTGTCCACTGATTTCCAGTATAATACATAATGACACAGGCTGCAGCACAGGCTTGGGGAGCATGGTTCAGTGGTTAGAGAGAGCTAAGTCAGAACATCCTGACCCTTCTCCAAGCTTTCATGTCCTTCTCCATCCGTTCTTCTGCTCCCAAGTATTACCCTTTCTCCTTCTCTGGTTATGACAGGACAGCAAGATGCGTAAATCAAACAACTCTGATGTGGGGGAACATTTCTCCCCCAATTGTGTAAGCCTTTGTCTTTACCATATAAGCTCACTGCTATAGACTTTCTCAAACATTGTGCCATGTGTATTTCACAGGCCATATATTGATTTATCCACAAATTAGACTTGGCATTCGAAGCTCCTCACAACCTGACCCCCCCCACTTACTTCCAGATCTATTTCACGTTACTCCCCTTCACAAACTCTCTAGTCCTCCCGTACTACTCTTCCTCATGAATGATACTTGGGCTCCTGTCCCTGGGCACAGGCTCTAATCATCTCCCTTCTGCCTGCCCTCTCCTCCTATCTCCAAGAGTCCCTGGTTTCCTTTGAGATTCAGCCAGGTGTCACCTTATATAAAAGACTTTTCCTGATTCCCCCGCCTCCACCCCAGCTACCAGTGTCCTCCCTTGCCTTGCATCTATTTTGTGTTCACCTAGGTGGCACAGTGGATAGAGTGCCAAGCCTGGAATCAGGAAGACCTGAGTTCAAATCTAGCCTCAGACACTGACTAGCTGTGTGACCCTGGGCAAGTCGCTTAACCCTGTTTGCCTTAGTTTCCTCATCTGTCAAATGAACTGGAGAAGGAAATGGCAAACCACTCTAGTATCTTTGCCAAGAAAACCCCAAATGGGGTCACGAAGAATGGGACACAACTGAACAACATATCTGTATGTGTTTATCTCCCCCAGTTGACTCATAATGTTTTTGCTTACGTTCATTTATTGACTATCTATCTATCTATCTATCTATCTATCTATTTATTGGCCTAAGGGGTCATTTTGGAACAACCATTTTGGAGGTATGGAAGGTGAAGCCCAGAGATGTTATGACCTAGCCAAAGTCACACAGCGAGCCAGCAACAGACCCAGATGTCCAGACACGTAGCCTTCTCTGTGGTTTGGACTTTAGGGACCCTGTCCCTAATGTTCTAGGCTACTCTCATTCTCATAGTCAAGACAGCGTGATGAGATAGAGATCTGTCCTGTGAGCCAGGAAAATCTGGGCCGAGGGCCTTCCTCTGCGGTATAAAGTGTCATATCAATGTGTGGCCCTGTGCAAGCCTCTGAGGGCTCCTGGCAAGTCTATAGGAGTAAAAGTTTCGAAGAAGGTGCCTCTCTTCACTGGTAGAGGGAATTTCCTCATCTGGGAGAGCCCTATACCAATAAATAACCAGTCTCTCTCTCCAATCCCTATCTCTTCTTATTCCCACTTGAATCATTCAGCATCAAGTTCAATGGCCTGGAGCCCCATTCCATGGGGAGAGATTGTGGCTTCCAGAGGAGCAAGGCCTCCTAAGCGGGTGCTCTGTGATACTGGGGGAGCCCATAGGAAAGGAGGAAACCATTTCAGGACTCCTGGGGGATCCAGGCTGCATATGTGCTCTTCCTGGAAGTAAGTCTAAGTAAATGGGGAAAGGTGCCATCTTAGCTGTTAAAATGGGGCCAGAGAGGAGAGTAGAGACAGTTCTGTCCCCGTGACCTTGATAGCTCCCCTTGGTTTGTAAAATGTGTTTATCTGCCTGCCAGGTAAGATTCCCTGTGCAGTTACCCATCTGATAAGGTGTCCTAGCCAAGGAGAATGAACAGAGGAGACAAGGGAAAGAGAGGCAAAATCAAAGCCGACGATTTCCTGTCCAGTTCCCAGCCTGGAGAATGGCAGGGTCTTGATCAGAGGCAATGGGGCCTGTGCCAGAGAATCTAACAAGGTGCCTGCCTCATCGGCCCCCTCCCTGGCCTAGGGAGCAGAGGGGCCTGGGTGCCAGTCCTAGTCTCTGCCATTAACTTTGGGACCTCCTTTGGGCGTTAGCTTCCTCCTTGGTAAAGAGGGAGGTGGGCTTAGTAATTGATTTCTAAGGTTCCTTCTAGGCCCATGATGATAGATCAGAGAATGGGGGACCTGGGAGCTAGGACTCCTGGCCATAGTCTGGGCAGCTCAGGGGAGGGGGCTGCAAATACCCCCACTGGCTCCTTGCCCCATCTCTCTCTTATCTAGTATTGCTCTCTATTCTATGCCATTCTGGGAAGCTGTGCAGGGCAGTGAAAAAAGGTGCCAGATTTGGCATCCACAGACCTGAGCTCAATCCTCATGGTTTAATGAATAGTTCAAATCCAGCCTCAGACTTAGCAGCTTGTGACACTACACAAGTCACTAACCCTTTCTTAGCCCCAGTTTCCTCATCTGTAAAATGGGATAATAATAGCACTTACCTCACAAGGTTACTGTGAAGATCAAATGAGAGCATTTATGTAAAGCACTTTCAGACTTTAGAGCAGGGCTGCACAACCTGTGGCCTGAGAACCACTTGGGGCATGCCAAAGAATTTCAGGTGACCCGTGA